GCTTCTCCCACCCCGACGACCCCAGCTTAGCCAGAACTTGAGCCTTCGACGTCTGTTGGCGTTTTTAAGCCCCCAGTAGCAGAGGCCAGCCCCTACCTGATTCTCCAAGCCCCCCTAACCCCCAGTATTCCAAGCCTAAAGGCCTTCAGTCCAAGAAAACCCAGGAGAGACCCTGATACACAGCTGCCCACGTGTCAGACATGGTGGCCCTAATGGGTCCCCTAGCCCCGACATGTGCCCAGCAGCCAGGGCTCAGCTAGGGGCTCTGTCAGGGCCTCCCTTGCACGTGCCAAGAAGACAAGAAGAACCAACTGCTGCCTCACTGCACCCACCTGCACCCACCTAACCTTCTGTGCCATCTCAGCTGCCCCCGCCGAGCCCCACCCCATCTCCCCGAATCGTGGTCTGTTGGCCCTCGTAAGTCCCTTCACGGTACGAAGGGGAAACCGAGGTCCAGATCGTGCCAGGGCCTCACAGCAGCAGGGGATCAGAACCAGCCCAAGAAACCAGGACTCTTGACACCGACTCCATGCCCACTTCAACTCCAGAGTCCCGGACTCAGTGTGGGCTGTGAGCCGGGCATGGTGCCGGGCCCAGGGGCCTCGCGTTTCCCCATAGCAACTGCTCTCAACGTTTCTGTGCTGTCGTGACCTGTCGCTCTCCTCCTCCGTCCCCTCACTCAGAGCCCTGCTCTCTTACTGTCCAGGGGACTCCACAAAAGCACGCCGAAGTTCCCATCTCTTTGCAGACATCTGCCAAGTGCATTCAGATCAGGCATGGTTTTGTGTGTTTGGGGCAGGGGCAGAGCCAGGTGCCGGCTGCAGTCCACAGCTGCTCTGTTTCCCCTCTGGCGTGGGCACACCGTGTAAGTCCCCTGGCCTCAGTTTCCTTACCTGTCGAGTGGGGCTCTTACTAGGCCCTACCTCAGAGGGTGTTGGGTGAGAATCCAGTGAGCTGATGTACTGGTTCGTACCCCCTTTATTACTGTGTTCTCGCAGGTATTTTCACCACCTAGAGACTGTCTCCACCCCTTCGATCTCCCACCCCAAATCCCAGAAGCTTTCCTGGCAGCCTGCCATCACAGTTACTCCCCACCGAACAGGAGGAGGTTGTCATTAGCCCACCTCCCCATGACACACACCCCCCAGGAATCTGAGCTTGGGCCCTTCAGAGCCACCTGTCCCTGTCCCAGCTGAGTCTCACACACGTCTGAGAGCTTGTGTGTGCACGCGCACGCATGCATACACACACACTCAGCCACGCTGTCTGGATCTTCAGGGAGAAAGGACTTTTCCACGGTTTCAGTTAATTCTCTGCTTCCTGGTCCCCCCACCCCAGGGAGCCGCTCAGAGCATCCGTCCTTGTCGAATTCCAAAGGTAGCTTAGCAACAGCACCATCCACGGAGTGAACCCCGGGCATCCAACAGTAACCTATTTTACAACCGCCTCCTCCATCACTCACCGCCAGGCTCCCGTCGGCACCCACAGGAACCGCTGGGCCCTGCGGTGGCACACCAACCCCCCCCCGCCACTGTGCTGGCCCCCCTGGTGGTCCTGGGCCACCTCTTCCCTGCACCTTCCCGCAACACCCACCCTCCGAGCAACCTCCCAGCATTTCCATAAAATCTGGGTACTTTGACTAATCCCTTTTCCGAACTGTAATTTCCCCCGAGGCTTCTGTCAGCTGGATGTGGATTTTGTAGGATTTTTAATTTTTTTTTTAAAAAAGATAGAGTTATGGGGTCAGCACTTATGACCAGCTCCTGTGGGTGGTGAGATCTATTTTAGATATACGGCAGGATTAAAGTGGGGAGGAGAGCAGATTTAATTAAGTTGCTAATATTTAAAGAAAATTGATGAACCCCTGGTTTACGAGTAGCACGGGCGTGAACACACCCCTCATTCCGGGGGAGGCTTTTTATTTGATTTGCTTTCCGTTTAAATCCTGGACTTGTTCTATTTGCGTAGCCGCACTGTCCGTTTAATTGTCTTTAATAAGGAAAACGTACCTCTGCTCGCATTTAATTTTGATTTAATTAGGAGGAAGTAATTAATGGCCTCGTAAATCCCATTTTTCAGCCCCCTGGGATGAGAAACCATCACTCTCATGTTTTGCATGTTGTTGATGATCTAGGGCTGGGGCGGAGGGAGCGGGGGTTTCTCTTTCTGGGCTGGCCACGCTTGATGTGGAAGGAGCCCTGGACGTGGTGTCACACAGACCTCAGCGCTGTCTCTTGGTAGCTGTGTGATGTAGATAGGAGTGGATTCTTTCCAGGCCTCAGTTTGCCAATCTGTACAATGGGGAGAAAATCGTTTCTGATGCGCAAGATCATTGTAGAAATTGATGAGGTAACAGCGAAAGGTCCAGAACTGTGCTGGAATGTTACAGGTTCCCAACGACTCTCCTCCCTAGCCCAGGTCACGTGTAGCTGGCATTTAACAGGCTCACAGACCCTCAGAAGCCCCAGAAGACAGTTGGGTTATTCTAATGACAGTTGTGTATTTCATCATTCATGTCCGCAATATGCTTGGGATAGTCGTCTACTCCAGAAGCTTGCAACCTCACACACTCACGTGACTCACACACACACACTTAACTCTCCCACTCCTGTATTATCTCTGCAGACATTCACAGGGTACCTCGTGCGTGCCAGGCATGGGGAGTTCAGACAGAATTTCCTCATGCCCTGAGGCCCATGACAGCCGTAGACAGGGAGGTATGACACTGAGATGGGTGTGTGCAAGGGCACAGAGCAGGGGGAGCCAAATATGAGGGCATCCGAGAGGCCTGCTTGGAGGAGCAAACAAGCTGAGTTTGAAAGACAAGAAGGTATTGGATGATGGTCCCTGGGTCTTCAATGGACCAGGATGTCAGTCTGTGGTTCTTGTCAAGAGATGGGAGGATGCATTAGGTGACCCTTCAATCTCTCCTGAAACCAGGGCCTGAAAAGGGAAACAAATTGATCTGTACTGCGAACCTGCCATGACCAGGAGCGTTTGTACGTTTCCTTACGAATCCCCAGAATCTGTGAAGAAGCAGTATCAGCCCCATTTGCAGATGAGAAAACTGAGGCCTCAGGAAAAGGTAGCCACGTGCCCAGGGCCGTGCAGCAGGTCAGCGGCAGAGCTGAAGCTGGCATCCAGTTGCTCCTGACTCCAAAGCCCATAAATTCCCCTCATTTGTCACTGGAGGTTCTTTTCCAAATGGCAAAGCATAAGCTCAGAGAAAAGGCCATCAATGACTGCGGCCTGCTGGGTGCAGAGCCAAAGCCGTGACAAAGCCGCTTGCTGGTCGTGCGGCCCGGTGGCTGTCCTGCAGCACCCTGCTGCCCCTTCCTCCTTCATCCTCTGAGCCGTTGAAAGCAGACTAACCAGACTTGCAGAGGCTGCAGAGAGACCAGCTGCATGTCAGAGTGAACAACCCTGGGCCTATCTCAGTTTCTTCATCCAAAAAATGGGGATATATTTATATACTCTGCAAAGTCTAGCTGGATTTCTGCAGATGGTTGGCATGTCTGCATGCCGTAGCAGGTGCTCAATAAATGAGAGCACCATCCTCCAGCTTCCTCACAGTTGAGCATCTTGAAAAATATCTCCCCAGGGCAGAGCCAGAGGTGCCCCCTCTTCTGAGAGAAACCAGGACCCAGGCAGGCAAGAGAGGCAGCCCCAGCTCAGCTCCAGCTCTGAGCTCCGGCCCCGCCAGTTGGCCCCGCCTGACTCTGCAGTCCCCAGAGAGCAGCCGCTGGGCCCCCAGCGTGAGCTCCCTGCCATACTTCACAGAAGAACATCGATGACATCACCACGTCATTCCCTCCTCCCCAGTCCTCTGGCGTAAGTGATCTCTGCCCAGGGTCTGAGTTAAAATGCCCGGGGCTGCTGAGACATGACGGAGATGCAGGAAGAGACAGAAGAGAAGTGAAAGAGCTATGAAGAGAGTGTTTGGGTAATTACAGCACGCCCTCATTTAATCCTCACCCCTACCTGAGCCCAGGGCTCAATCTCACTTCTTGGGTGGGGACACGGGCTCAGAGCAGTAAGAGCAACGAGCCCATGTCATTAGTGAGTGGCAGAGTCAAGAGCTCGGCTTCCCATGCTTAGCTATGCGACAGAGCAAATGCCCTCCCCTCCCCGTGCCTCGGTTTCCGCATCTGAGATGTAGGAGTGGCGTTTCACAGGGCAAAGGTGAAGACTGGTGAGGCTGGAACAGTTAGGCCACAGATGCCCCCAAGTGGCCCCTCTCTCACCTCACCGCTCAGAAATAGTTGCTGATTGGATAAACAGCAACAGGTCTGGCTGGGAAGTGGGCGGAGGCACCCCAACGGGGAGCAAACCTGCTCTCTCCTGTCCCATCTCCCTGAGCAAAGGTAGAAGCAAAGCATAAACAGCAAACAGGAGAGACAGGCCTCCTCGTCCCCAGCTCTGCCAATGATTCAGGGCCGACATCCTGAGATAATTTTATTGGGGGCATTAAACTGAGTTATGAGGTTTTTACAATCCAGCCACTTATGAGAAATCTATTAACAGTAACTGGACAGGAAGAAGGCTTCTCGGTGGAGCCCAGGACAGGCATTAATTGGGGCAATCTATAACAGGACGGGGACCCGGAAAGGTTCCACCAGACGCCTCCATTTACTCCCCGCAATTTCTGCTGAGAATCAGCAGACTCGCCAAAAAGAGAGAGATGCCCATTAATCGGCTAATGAAATATGAAAATGTTTATGGGCCATTCAATCTTCCAAATGGCACTTCTATAATCCACCTTTCAGACACCAAGTTCCACCAGCAGAATTTATACCCCGGCTTCTCCTGCATGGCAGGACGTGGGCTTTCGTCCCCCTTCGTGACGACTTTATTGGCATCTGTTCTCCTGACGAGTGGGCTGGGGTCCACGGCACCCTGGCCTGATGGGGCTTTAGGGTTCTCTCATTCACACCCACCTCCACAGAAGCTTCGAGAGGAGTAGAGGCCCACCGAGAGGCTCCAGCTTCTGGGGGGTGGGCTTGCGTCTGCTCAGGCATACCTCTGAGACTCGGGCCTTGGAGGGAAAAGACTTGGGTGTTTATTTTTTGCAAGAAAACAGACTTCCTTTTAGTTTCTCACGCAAGAGATTTCAGTGCAGTGAAAGCAGCCTGGGATCTAGGGCCTAATGGTGCCTGGATTAAGTCCCCGTTATCTATAGCTACCGCTTTGTAATAATACACTAATAACGATAGCCGCCGTTTACCGGACGCATTACGTCTCGGGCGGCCCTGATGTCCGCTTCCGCTAGTACAAGCTGGTATCACCGTGCTGGTTGTTAAAATGGTGGGAAAGCTCCATACCCACAGTAAACGGTCCCTCTCCTTGTCCTCGGCCCAACCTCTCAGAGACCCAAGGGTACCTGTCTGGCCCAGAGAGGGCCCTGCAGCAGGCCCAGTGTGTGGGCTGTGCCCCTGCTCTCCTGGCTATGCGTTACTGTAGATGCCACATGGTGCCAGGCAGCCGCTGAGCGCCTTAAGTGATTCTCAACTCAGAACCTCTCAGCACCTGGGGGAGGGAGCCACTATCACGATTCCCATGTTACAGATGAAGCCACTGAGACCTGGAAAGCACAGTGACTGGTGTGAGGACACACAGGGGGACGATGCAGGCACCAGCGCTGGGCCAGCCATGCTTCCTCTCCCTCCCTGTGGGGTCCTCTCTGGAGGCTTTGGGAAGGAGGGGGAAATGCCCGGCTGAGGAGCCAGGCCTGTCCCTCCAGTCGTCTGACCATGACGAAATCATCCCACTTCTCTGATCCTCAGTAGGGGAAAGTTGTAAATTGAGACTAGCAAAACAGACAAAACAAAAACTATAGATTGCTTAGCGTAGTGCCTGGGCCTGTAGGTACCCCTTCAGTCTGCATTCCCCTCCCTCCTTCCCTTCACTCCTTGTCCCCACCAGGCACCAAGTCTTGAGCCTGGCCCTCCACTCACCAAGATGAGTAAGGTTGCCCCAAGCTCCTGGCTCAGCATCCAGGGAGAGATGGACCTATAATTCAGAGTAAGGTCAGGGGCCAGCAGCTCGGGTGCTTGGGAGAAATGCAGACTTTCAGGCCGCACTCCAGACCTCCTGAGTCAGAATCCGCTTTGTAACGAGACCCCAGGTGACTTGCATGCGCATGGGTTGCAGAAGCACTGGCTACAGCCATCCTACGAGGCAGAACATGACGCCAGCTTGATGTACTGTGGAGATCTTGGAGGGGAGGTGGTGGGTAGCCAAAAAAGCTCTCTGGAAGAGGTGGCATTTGAGCTGAGCCTTGCAGGATGAGTAGACTCTCAGTATGCAGAAACGTAAGGAAAGGGGGCTGCGTGTGCAGAGCGGTGTGAAGGTGGCTTCTTTGTAAAGGCAATGGGGAGCCATGGGAAGGTTACAAGCAGGGGAGGAGGTATTCGGATCCGGATCTGAGGCTGATAGCTCTGGATGCAGAGGGGCAGGGTTAGGGTTGACAGGGACTGGTGAAATGCTCCAGGCCAGAGGCAGTGAGGCCTGGAGTAGGGTAAGGCATGGCTCTGGGCCTCAGTGTCTTCACTGTGTTGAAGAAGAGTTGTGCTTAGAAATAGGCCCCCAGTGGGACTTGAGGCAGGAGGATGAGGTGGAAGAGCTTCCTCAGCCTCCACTCTGCCTTCCTCCCTGCCTCCCCAGATTCACTCGGACTCTGATGAGGGTGACGGGGCCATCAAGTACACCATCTCAGGCGAAGGTGCTGGGACCATTTTCCTGATCGACGAGCTGACCGGTGACATCCACGCCATGGAACGCCTGGACCGTGAGCAGAAAACCTTCTACACGCTGCGGGCCCAGGCTCGGGATCGCGCCACCAACCGCCTGCTGGAGCCCGAGTCGGAGTTCATCATTAAAGTGCAGGATATCAATGACAGCGAACCCCGCTTCCTGCACGGCCCCTACATCGGCAGCGTGGCCGAGCTCTCCCCCACAGGTGGGCTGCGGGCTCTGCAGGGGCAGTGGGGCAAAGGGACATGCCCACAAGGGGAAGGGAGCTGCCAGGTCCTGAGTCAAGCCTGCTTTGGGGGGGATGAGGGGAGTAGCTGACTCTCTGGGGACCAGCAGAAGAACCAGGAACTGGTGCCCCAGAACGCAGGGCACAGATGGGAACTCAGGCAGCCACCAGGGCCAAGCATAGTCCTGGCCAGTCCCAGCTGCAGTCTGGATCTCAGCCATATTCACAGGCGCGGACCTGCCTATGGACACAGTGGCATACTCAGACATGGTTGCATACCTGTACACAGCCACACACACACAGCTGCATGTGAGACACAACCACACACGCAGCCCAGCTCCACACACAACTCAGCTCTATACCCCTCCACAACCCGCTCACAGACACAGCCCTTCACAAAAGATCAGCGACATAGACCATGCAGCCCGGGGCCCCAGCCCTCACAGGCGCAGCCCCGTCTCCAGGCACAGCTAAACACAGGGACACCTACCACCGGGAACAGTGGCCCAGCTGCACACCTGAACACAGCCTCCTACTCTGACGGAGCCACATACAGTCCCATGCAGGAAGCCCCTCACGTGGCCAGAGCTTCTGTCCAGACTCGGCCACCCCCATAGACATGGGCAAAAGCCACAGCTGACATTACCATCTTGAGGTGGTCACGGCACAACCAGAGGAACAGCACCCAAACAATTTCATCCCCTGCCCCCAAGGAAGCCACAGCTGGCCAAGGCACAGCCCCACCCTGAAGACACAGCTCACATACTGAGCCCCAAACGCAGGCCCGGCTGCACTTCCCCGGCTGTGGCTGGCGGGCCCAACCCACCGAGCAGCA